AGTAAACTTAATCGCAGCTTTTTTGATTTCAGGAAGTTTGATAATGACGAGCAAAGTTCCCAGCATCTATCCTGTATGCACCGTATCTCATCGCGACAAAGAACATGCACATACATAAAGTCCTCTGTTCTTTGCAAGATGACTATGACTCCCTCGAAAGGTTATATCCTAGAAAAGGGGTGCTTAAATATCACTGGGCATCAGTTAGCTTTAGAAATATCCTCTTCTTTTATATGAAGTCATTAGAGTGACTTCTGGCTTTTTTCTATTAACAGCCTCTTAAATTTACGATCACTTTACGACCTGACTTTCATGGATACTTAAAGCAATATCTATCCCGACTGGTGTAGAACGCTCAGGCAAATTGGAGGTCATGAAGATGTTACAGCAATATGCTGAAGAACCCATAGTTTTGACGGAAAACACTTTTATCCAGAGCAAAATATATGGTAATATTATGCATTTTTATGTCACAGTAGTATGTGGATAAAGATGCTAAAGGCTGAGGCCAAGTCCTGCGGACACGATCTTAATGAAAATTTCAAGTGATTACCGCAAAAGACCTAAAAGAATTTCGTTTACCAAATTGCTCTTTGATATCTTTTCACTCCACTCAATATCTAGGCATGTCAAGTGCCTACTTTTGATTAAGTTAAAATTCCACCGAGTTACAACAAAACGACTGTCATTAAGACTCCGTTTTCTAGGGATAGGAATCGACCTTATCTTTCTACAGAGACGAAGGTAACCTATCCACAGAAGCTTGTTAACCAACTGAATGAGTGCATGAGATGGATGAACTGAAAATACGATAATTAGCAAATATTTAATTCGAATGCCTACCATCCTGTAAATTCGAAACAACTTCTAGTTGATCAACAAAATTTCACAGCTGAATACAATACTTCCCACCAGCAAAGCGTATAGTTTTCGCTTTCGTAGATTCAGGAAGGCGTTCCAGTACTCGGGCATTGCTAGAGCAATGCTCAACAATACGTCTATGATTTGTACCGTGTTACTGTCACGCTGAAGGACGGACGAAGAATAAAACGGCCTCCGTTTTAGGAATAGAAAATTAAACCAGGGGCACCACCATCTGCTTTC